GCCTTTAGAAACTTTGTCTGCTTCAGTCACACCATCTCTGGAAGGTTTTGCTCCTTTTCCCCTTCTCTTCTTCTTTTAGCGACCTCAAAAACTGATTTTCTTTTGCGGCGAAGTAGTCGTGGATTCTCGTCAGCGATCGTGACAGAGTTTGTGCGAATTGCGTGGAAGCTACAGTTTGAAAAAGCCTCTAAGAACCACGTAATCCCAGCACACCGCGAGTCAATTACTCTAGAAATGTAGGGAGTTTGATTGACAACCTAACAGCCAATAGAAAATGAGGTAGAATGGTTGTCTATTGGCTGATGTTTATCTGGCCTCACTATGTCCACAGTTGATAGATTTTCATTCTTTTTTTTTTTGGTCATCATAATTACAAGGCTGCTGCATCTCTGTAATGGTATTTTAAACTTTCACTGACAATTTGAAACTGAAAAAAAATCCTCCATACAACTTTTAAGAGCTACCTTTATGCCTTTAACCTACGTTGATATGATGACGGTCTGAACAGAAGACACAAAAGTGGCGCAGCGTCTTCACGTTTTACTCCGCATTTAGATGAAATCTGCATGCATACAGTGACGCAAAAGTGTGTGGAATTCGATTGGGTATGCATGCCAGGCGGCTCGGTGGTGACGCTAGGTGGTGATGTATGTGACGTAAACGCATATCCGACCTGAGCAGATCTGACCAGAGTTTTGCGTCTTGGGCAATGTAGACGGAAACGCTACGGCAGAGTCTATTCAACTTTTCCACTTCTCTGGAGGGTGGTTTCAGATTTTTGCATTTTTGAGCCCCAAAAATGCCGTCACCGTCTAAATGAAAGTCAGTTCCGATAAAATATTGTGATGTTTTTACCCGCAAGCGTTTTCATGTAAACAGGCCCTTAGTTCAGTAAACATTGACAATTCCAGAGCTGAAATGATCCAAATGATTCTACTGAAGGTGTATGGAGTAAAAACACAATGGAGCACTACCTTTCTGCATTACCACATGACATTCCAAGGTGAAAGAGAGTGTTTTCAGTTTGAGAGAAGAACTAAATATGCAGGGTTCGTGTGTGAATGAAATAAAACACAACTCTATGTATGTTTGTGATGAGGAAACAACATTATTATGGGCCCTTTAAAATGAAGACTTGTCCTGATTTCCTTTTCTTCTTGTCAATAGGGAGAACTCTTTGAAAGGGACTAACCCAGTTTTATTTAAGATCTGATACTCAGACAGTAAATCATTTTCTTTGGTGGTATTTGGGGTGAGAGGTGATCCAATATCAGGTAAGACCAACTGAAGAAAGTGGTGCTTTGTTAAGTGTCTGAAATCCAGAATCTATATCTTCACAAAAAGAGGAAACACATTTTATTTCAGACTGGTAAGACATTGTACAAAACTCCACTGTTGCATGAGACACTCCTTCACTTTTGGCATGAAATGTTGTGGTGGTTACACGGTCAGCAGAGATCCCAAAATAGTCTTTTTCAATGGAGTGAAAAACTGTGCTCCATACATCATTCATAAGAGCATTTTGTTTGGAGCTCTCTCACTCACTGTTGCTATTGCCCTTTGGGGGGAGGAAAGTTGCCTGTGATTAGCGCAGAATACAAAGTAGAGACAACAGTGAAAGCCATGTCCCCAATAACGCATCACTTTGTTTGGAAGTTTTCTCTACTGTATATTTGAACCGCGGCTGGTGTATTGTGATGTATTGTGCATGGCATCTGGAAGGACTCATGAATAAAATAGCACCCCCTGTGGGCTTTTCCAAGTAATCTAAAAATGTTGCCTTATTTTAGCACACAACACATAGTCAGCTGTGTCTGATATGTTCTGACAAGCTCTGTGCAAATTTATTCCTCATATTAAGACCAGTGCTTTTCTTATAATTGGATTGGATTGTTTTCGATGCTGATTTTGTTTTGACGTGATTTTCAGTGCTTTAATTTTGATCTCAGAAAATATTGTTAAGTTAACTGGAGAGCAGAATGGAGCTTGAATTGGTATCATTGCTGACCCAGAGGCGTTGCATTGTTGTTTTGGCCCATATCACCTGTGGTCATGAGCTTTGGGTAATGACGGAAAGGACAAGATCACGGATACAAGCGGTTGAAATCAGTTTCCTACGCAGAGTGGCTGGGTGTTCCCTTAGAAATAGGATGAGGAGTTTAGTCACGTGTTTGGAGTAGAGCCACTGCTCCTCCACGTCGAGAGGAGCAGCTGAGGTGGGTCAGGCATCTGTTCCGGATGCCTCCTGGGCGCCTCCATCAGGTTCTGGGCATGTCCAGTCGGAAGGAAGTCCCAGGGAAGACCCAGGACACGCTTGGGGGACTATGTCTCTTGGCTGGCCTGGGAACACCACTCGGTCCCCTCGGAGGATCTTCACAAAGTGTCTGGGGTGAAGGAAGTCTGGGAGTCCCTGCTTAGACTGTTTCCCCCGTGACCCGGCCCTGGATAAGTGGGGAAAAAAATGGATGTTTGGGCCCATATTAGACTATTTTGTGGTCTATGATTTAATGTTGTTTGTTCGTAAGAAACATATGTGGAGTTGTGTTTAGTTTCATTCAAACATGTTTAACACACCAACTCCAACTCCATACACCTTCATTAGAACCATTTGGATGATTTCAGCTCTGGAATTGCCCATCTCTACTGTAGCTGTTAACTTACTTACCACTACATGAAATCCCAAGGTGAAGCAGAGCATTTTGAGTTTCGGAGATTTAGACAAACTAATAATAAGGATTACTCAAACATGTGAATGAAACAAAGTACAACTCCAAGTACAGTATGTTTTTGAGGAGGTAATACCATTCTAACATTTCAAGAGTTCATTTTGCATAATATAGGATCTTGAAACCGCGCTCTTTCCAGTGTTTTCTAAAACCTACTAATACTGCAATGTAAGCAAACAGATGCGTGTTCTCACCTACAGAAATTAGTGTCATCATGTAATGAATCATAAATGGCAAAAGTGAGAGCTGACTTTATATGAAACTGAAAAGTACTTCAAATGTCAATATTGTGTCATGTTGACAAGTACCAGTCTTCAGTAAGAGTATGTAATTATAGCACCTAACAGCTTAACTCCACTCTCCTCATAAACACTCATCTTGACAGGCGGCCATGTTACAGGAGGTCACATGACTTCAGTCAGGATTTATTAATAATGTCACATCTAACTTGCTCTATTTATTTGGGGCACAATGCAAAAATATATACACATTGAAAGACACTGGACATGATTTTACTCTCTTAAAGATAGTGTCATTTTAAACAGTTTGCAGTTTGCAGTGGTCCAAAGTTATTCTTCACTTTCAACACATTTTAGCATCTTAATTATTCACAGCAATTAGTTTATAAGTGCTTTGTGCCATCACGGTAACTCTAGCAACAACTAGCATGCTAACGGGGCAAGAGTAGCTCAGCTGGTACAGTTTTTTTTGAGTGGTCATATTCACTGACCCACAGGTTGGTGGTGCGATACTAGCTCTCACAGAATGCTGTTGTTGTGTCCTTGGGCAAGACAATTAACCCCCCTCGCCCTCAGTGTCTGCATACGCTGGTGTATGAATGTGTGTGTGAATGGGTGAGTGGTTTGGTGACGTAAAGTGCCTTCACTGTGGCAAAGCTCTACATAAAAATGTGACCATTAACCATTTAACAGAGCACTTCCTGATTCACAGACAATAAAGTAGATGCAGACAGCACAACAGGCTCATTTGACCCTGTAAGAACTAAAAGAGCTTTGACCATACATCAGTGTTTACTTACTGTACATCTTTGCTCTTTGGAAAGACTGGAGCTGGAGCTTTTGTGAAATAAAATATAAAACCCTGCCAAGCACTTGAGCTCATTTAAAAATGAATGGGACTACATCTTTACAAATGGGTAAAAGGTTCACTTTAATTTTGGCTTCAGGCAGAGCAACAAAAATCTGTGTTGACTAAACTCTCCTCCTTCACCGCCCCAAACTAACCCATCACCCTCGGCAAGAGCAACAGACTAACTTTTATTTTCAATTATAAGCTTCACTAAACTTAAGCAGCCTTGTTACTCATTTTTAGTGCACTGGTCAATGAATGTGGGTGTAAAGACAAAAACTGTTATTGTAATCTAATGAGCTTTACGCCATCAGGCCTGTCACCAGAACTCATTTTGAAGTGGGATATACTGCTGAAGTAAATACAGATGAGAAACGATAATGCTGAAACTAATTTATACCATTGATACAGTAACCTAAGAGCAGATTTAAACCACAAAAAAATTCTAAAAACTCAATATTATTAATTATTTTATTTTTTTTAGCTGCAATTAATAGATATCTGCATAGCCTGAAAACTAACAAAATAATTCCCCGTAGTGCAAAGAAAAAGTACTGACCTCCCAAAAATATCATTCTGTTTGAAAAAGCCTCATGTACTGTATTGTGCGGTTGTGTATTTATTGATTCACATTCTAATCTCCTTTATGAGTGATAATAAAAACTATAAGAGCAGTGTATATGGTCAGATCTTAGGTCTGGACTGGAATTTATAATTTTGTTGCATTATATTTTTTGATTGGGTTTGATTTTAAAATGGTTTTGTAAAGAAGTTGACAGTAGAATGATTCAGGGGAAAAAACGATTTGGTTGCGACAGGAAGTGCTGCTGCTTGTTCTTTGTAAGATATGTTCTATTCACACTCCTAGTTAGAGTGCAGGGTTTTTAAACCATGTGAAAGGATTTAGTCACATAGCTCTGCTTTTACAATAGACTTTATGGGGTTTCATTTTTCATTCGAAAAAATTTCATTTTGTCTTTTGTACTTTTTTGAGATAATACAGTAGGAGATTGTATTACCCCGTTGACATGTTTTGGCTGCAAGCTGCAAGTCATCTACACAACTGCCTGGTCTTGTATGGTCTTTAAGAACTCAAGAAATCAGTTTTTATTGTTAATTGCTACAGCAACTTACCTATTTTTTCATCATTCTGAAACTTATGGATAAAACATTCCGTCTCTGAAAATGAAAGTAGAGGATGATGGACAGTGCTGCTTGTTAGAGAATGTTCTGAAAGGTGAATGTGAAGGATGATGGATGTGTAAGTGTGTTTATGTCTCCAATATTTTTTTATTATATGTTTTGTTTATGTTTAAAAAGTTCTGAATATTTGACTTGAATTTCTGTGTGTGTGTGTGTTGACAGGAGGTCCCGGCGTGGCCCTGGGCTCCTCTGGGTGGGACTGCCTGCGGGCAGGTGACACCTGCTCCAGTGATGACAGCTGCAGCCCCCGCCTCCGCACCCTCAGACAGTGTGTGGCGGGAGACGGTAGCGTCAAACTCGGCCCCGGGGCCAGGACTCAGTGTGAGAACGCCATGACGGCTCTGCTGGCCACGCCCCTTCACGGCTGTCAGTGCAAAAGAGGCATGAAGAAGGAGAAGAACTGCCTCAGCATCTACTGGAGCCTGCACCAGTCTGGACTCGTGCTGCAGGGTGAGACAAACGTTACTATGGTGACATCCTGTATGGTTTAAAGGTGCATTATGTAACTTTTTCTGGTGGTCCCTGGAGATGTTTTTGCATTTTTTTTTTCCATCTATTGCAAAGAAAATATATTGAAAAACAACAAACAACAGGGTGGCCTCTCCAGATGTGAACTGTATAACTTGTCACCTGCCACTTTAACAATGCCATACTATGGAAAATAGTAACGGAATAAAATCTCCATGGAGACAAGCTGGTGATGGAGCCTCTACCAGAATACAGTTACATGGTGCACCTTTAATTGAGATGGATTGTGGAGATGGAGACGATTTCCCATTGAACACATTGTAATTACACACATGACTATTGACTGTAGTAAACTATACTTGTGGTTTTATGAGTACTCGTACTGATACCAGCTGGTGAGTACTCGTGTGCATTGGCCTCCACAGCAGTGCTCCTCTGCTACACAAACAGTCTGAGCCTGAGGAGCGCTCCCAGCACTCTGCAGTCTGTGAATAACACACACTTTAATGACACACACACACACACAGTCTGTGGATAACACACACTTTAATGACACACACACACAGTCTGTGGATAACACACACTTTAATGACACACACACACAGTCTGTGGATAACACACACTTTAATGACACACACACAGTCTGTGGATAACACACACTTTAATGACACACACAGTCACTTTAGCTCAGACTCACTGGGTATATCCTGAATTCCCTGTGACTTTGTTAAAATAACTTTAAATATAAAAAGGCAAAAAATGTCACAGATTTTTACTAAACCAAAATAGTAGCTACAGTGTCCTATTCATAGGTTACAGCTATCCACGAGTTTCAAAATGATGACAAGTTTGGACTGTTGCTATAGCGAATAAGAATTTCTAAATATTGCATCTTTAGGATGGCAAAAAGTCCTCAAAATGTTGCATATAAGATAGAAAGCAGATTTTAAGGAAGGCCATATGTATTTTATTATAAAATTGTTAATTGTTATGACAACAGTCCTAATTTTTCATCACGTGGATCTCTCTAAGGATGTTTTGTTGAAAGTTTAAGATTTAGTACTTTTCATTTCTTGACCAACTGAACATTACACAAAACCATGGAAGGAGAAAGTATATATTTGAACTGTTACCTCACTGTTACCTTTTTGTTTGTTTGTTTGTTTGTTTTTGTTTTTGTTTGGTTTTTTGCGCACAGCTCTTACTAAATGACTGTTAAAAAGTTTCACAGTTACATGCTGTCAGTGTGCATCTGCTTTCACTTTTGGGGGGAACACACATTAGTCATCAATAAGAAAAACACTGGGTACTGCAGCTTTAATTGAACAAACATGAACAAAGGAACTTAATCAGCATCCTATCAAGTGCCTGTATCTACTGTTCCTTATCTCTTTTAACAACAATCCAACTTTTTATGGCCATAGTAAAGGAGTTTTATTGCCCAAAGTCCTCCACATCTGTTCAGCTGCATTATACAAACACCAACTCCAAAAACCTGTGTCCAGTGCCAGGGTGAAGATTATTACAGGCAGTCTTCGAGATGACTCATGAATAAGACCCAAACGATTTTTAATTAAAGCACATTTAGCTGCAGTGTGCTGTGACGGGCCTCTGCACAACAGTCAATGTTATAGAACTGCAGGCCTGTCAGAAGCTTCTGGTTATAAGATGAAGAATGGATCTGATCTTTGTTATAATGTTGTTTCCTCATCACAAACAAACCTGGAGTTGTGTTTGTTTCATTCACACTCAGATTCTCCATATTTAGGCTTAGTTTATTCTCTCACACATAAAACATTCAGTTGCACGTTGTGATGCCATGCGGTAATACAGGAAGTGCTCTACTGTGTTTTTAAAGTCAATTTCACTAGAATCATTTGGATGATTTCTGCTTTCAAATTTCCAATCTCTAAAACTAAAGGTAAACAATAGATATTAATGTGAAAACTAGCTCTACTGTGACATCACAAGGTGGAACAATGTGTTTTGGAGATTTAAACAAACTAATAATAAATGATTGCTCAGACAAAAAAGAATGAAACAAACAAAAATCCAAAAAAGTTTTTGAGGAGGTACCAACATTATACCTTGACTTAAAGCTCACAGGAATCAATTTTCCATAATATAAGACCTTTAAGAAACACATCTATTTCCAGTTTTTACATTATGTTCTAACTGGGAATATACAGGCTGTATTATTTCAATATTATGATGTTTAATTTTCTGATTTACCTAATTATAACCATGACCTGAGGGAAGAAGCTCATTTTGAATTCAACAAAAATGTGGTTGATTAAAATTCTTCATATTACAATATTTAATCAGACAGCACACAGATTTCACTTTAAAGGTGTAGTATGTAGCTTTTCTGGAACTTGAGAAGCCACAGGTCAGATCTGTGGAAAGGCAATCCCAGTGAGGTGTATTTTGTAGCAATAAAAGGGAGTTAGAAAGACTCCAAAACAGCTAGGCATATTTACATCACAACAAATCAAATAAAAGAATGTGACCAAAGTCTTGGAATGACCACCAAAAAAAAAACAAAAAAACAAAAAAAAACAATGACCTATTTTATACACCCAATACTTGCAAAAAATATTAGTAAGAGTACCCAAATTGCATGGACTAAGTGAGTACATTGGTTACATTGACAGTGGATTCACATGGATTTCCTGGTATGTGTTGTGTTGTAGGTTTGAGCCTGGTGGAGGACTATCCCTATGAACCAGAGGAGAGGGGCTCTGACTATGTGAGACTGGCCTCTATCGCTGCAGGTGAGGCTCTGGTCCATATAATCTACACTATACATTCACAAATATGACATTTATGAATTAACAGATATTTGTGTCCATTCATTGAAGCCTTAAACATTTCTAAAAAGAATTGTTGAAACTCAAGAGTTCAGTTCAATTTGTTTTGCACTGTCATAATAATACTAAAACACCTTTATTTTTTTTTATTTATTTTTTTTTTTGGTACAATAATTTTCCTCACAATCTCACCATATTTTTAATTTTGTCTTCTTAAAAGTTATTTTTCTACATAGTCTTGAGTACTATATTTTCCGGGCTATTAGGTGTGCTCTTAAGCCTCCAACCTCATCAAAAAAAGACTGCGCACCCCGCAATCTAGAGTCCTATACATGAATCCACTCGGATGTCCCAGCACGACTTCAGTAAACTACAAAGCCGCACCACCCGCAGCGCAAACACGCACGGAGCAGACAGTGACTGCGCAGCGCAACACACCCGTAGACACACTCATCACTCCACGTGGACGAGGAACGGAACGGAGGAACGAACCGAAAAAGCGAGTGCAATGTGCCACTTCTAGACACAACTGAACAACTGAGTCATTGAGTGCGTATACATGCGCATCAATAACCCGGTTATTAGCCATATCCCGGTTATGTCAGTATCCGGGTTACTGCATATACATGCGCACTGAGAAACCGGGATCCTCATACTCATACGTATACATGATCAAATGGAGTATCCGGGTTTCTTGACATAATCTTACAAATGCGCAGGCGCAAAAATTAACTTAAATCAATTTCATAAACCAGGAAAAATACAAACCGTGAGCTCCTTTAGCATAAGAAGCTAAGGAGCTACGAGATCTCCCACAATCCACTGTGCAGATTCTTCATTAAAATCTTCTGCATAAATAAACTCAACTTTACAACATATAAACCATAAACACTATAGACACATCAGCCCGTTTGATCAGATAATTCAGCTGTGATCACATTTGTTTATGTTTTACAGAAACGAAACTTAAGACCGTTTGGCTAATTAGCATAAACTGTTAGCGGTGATAAAAACAACTCGCTCCTTGCGCCGCTGATGCGATCAGTTTCTTTTGGACTAAATGACACGACTCTGTGGATTATGTGTGTAAGAGGCGCTAATGATGGTAAGTGTGTTTCGTGAGTATAGGAGATAGTTCATGTTTTAGCTTTTCAGCGTCACACGAGTGCAGGTCGTACGAGTGCAGATTGTACGTGTGCAGGTTTAGCGCAGCTCTTTAATTTTACAGTCATTTCACTCGTTTGGTCACTTTATTTATGTTGGTCAATTTATTTATGTGACTACTGTTGTGGTGAAAGGCTGGAAAGTGTCTTTTGGACGCATGCGCACTCAACTTTATGTTGCAGTAACCGGGTACTGCGTATACATGCCACAAGTAACCCGGTTACTATCGGAATAAACCAGCTACAGTAACCCGGTTTCTAATAACCGGGATACTGCCATAACCGGGTTACTGAAACCGGGTTACTGCGTATACATGCACCATCAAGAAACCGGGATACTCAAAAAACCCGATCATAACCGGGTTATTGATGTGCATGTAAACACACTCACTGCGAACACGCTGACAATCCAGCGGTCCCAGACAGCACCCTCCCTACACGCCACAACTGAACAAAGCCCAGAGTCACCGTGAACGCACCAAACAAAGTCCGACTGACCCATCCAACTGTTGTATTTCGTTTAGAGACCGGTGCGGTTTATTTGTGAAAAAAGTTTGAAAATAGGCCATTTAAAGACAGTGCGTCTTATAATCCAGAGCGCCTAATAGCCCGGAAAATACGATAACTCTTGTTGTTAGTCTGTCTACATCTCCAAAGCTCAAAATATTCTGTTCCATCTTCAAGTGGTGTTTTTGATGTTAACAGCCACCTTTTACATTTACACTACCGGTCTAAAGTTTTAGAACACCACACTTTTTCCATTTTTTATTTTTTCTGTTTATTGTTTTCTGTTGACCAAAATGTATTGTAAACTTTTGATTCATGAAAGTGTCCACCTTTGGCAGTTAGTGGTCCCTCATTTATCACAGGGGTTACATTCTAAAAATAACCCACAATAGGTGAAATCTAGCAGTAGTCAGCTTTACACTTATTATATGTGTTTTAAGGCTGGAAAACCCCTCATCACACACTTTAAACTTTTCTCAGACAGGACAGTTACAACCATTTTTGGATCCTTCTTTAAACTTATTGCTGCTATCGTCCTTTTGTTATTTTCTTCCTTCTTTATGTAACGACCGGAAGATTAATTTATTCCATAATGTCGCCCTACAGCCGCGTAACTTGTACCTTCCTTCAGCACGTCCAGAAGTCCAACTTTTTGTGCGATGGTTTGCATCTTCCTCTGCCTTTTGGGTGCGACTGCAGGAGCCTTTGTTGGTGCAGAACGTTTCGTCTGCATTGTGGGTTTTGTCAGGGAGAAAACTTGCAAACATACAGCACTTTAGAATCACACTGCTAGAGATCGAGCACTTATGTAAATGTGGCAAACTGAACACATTCTGTACTGTACAGGAGACACGGCACGGAGGAGATTAATTGACAGTGATCTACAGTCCCTTAGCCAATCAGGACGCAGGAGGAGGAACACAATTCAAGTTCATACACAGTAAAAAAAGCACTTAAAAAAATCAGCGAAACAACGAAGTCACGACAGGTGAACCACGTTATAGTGAGGGACGACTGTATAAGAGCTAAACACACTTGTGGCTCATTCTTTTTACAACAGAAATCAAATATTGTTCAGAAAGTTCATCCCAAATCTGTTGCAGAAGTTCCCATAAATCTGCGGCTCTTGTAGGTGCTTCACTCGTCTGTCCAGTTCATCCCAAACCAGCTCGATGGGGTTTAAGTCTGGACAGTGTGCTGTTTTCAAGTTTACCATCTTGTTCTTTTTTCCTGAGGTAGTTTTGCCAGAGCTTGGACTTGTGTTTTGTATCTTTTATCTTTTAACCTCTGGCTGTTCAGTTCTTCCGTTTGTGCCATTTCAAGCTCTTCATTGGACTTACACGACTTGAACTGCAATAAATAACTGGAAAAATTAGGGTGTTCTAAAACTTTGGACCGGTTGTGTAGTTCAGTAGAGATTGGCAATGCCAGGGCTGAATCATCCAACTGATTCTAGTGAAGGTGTGTGGAGTTCAAAAACACAGTGAGCACTCGCTGTATTACCACATGACATCACAAGGTGGAACATCATAACATAGATCAGAAAACAGTGTAATCTAATCCTTTGACATTTTGACATAATCTTATTTTCTTACATCATGACACTTCTATAAATGGAAGCGGTTGAACACAATAAAGACATGCATATTGCTGCGTTTGAAGTGTGTTTGTATGTAGTTAGTGTTGTTTGAAGCCAGGCCCTCTCTGAGCTCCCAGTCTGCGGTGTCTGTGCTGTGTGTGCCTATGGGCCAGCCCGGGGCCTCCTCCGCACTGCTGTTCCCCCAAAGGCACGCACTAATTACCCATTTACTTTAATGCTGCCGCGGGATACGAGTGAGCGAGGGGAGGAGAGGGAGGACGAATGAAAGGGAAGTGTCACAGCCAGACGCAGTTTGTTTACTAAAAATACGAAGAGGTGATCTGAATAGAATCTGTATAGACGTTTGTGCACACTTTGGGTTATTTAGTGGCTAGAAGACAGAATCAGTGTGTGTAAAAATCAAAAAGTTGAATAAAAACCTGGCACTTAATCAAAATTCATCATGTTTTTATTTATTTATTAAATTCTCTGTCACTTGATGCATTTTTTATTTTAAAGTGCACTGTATAACTTGTTATTGCTTTGTCTAGAATGTTCCACAATAGATAGATTAAATTAAATAGATTAAAATTAGCTACCTCAAGGGAGACAACTACAGGCTGCATTACAGGTGAGATCTGTGGAGAGGCACCTCTATTTACTGAGAGAATTATTGTATTTTTGAGCAATAGAAATACCCATACTGAATAAACGCTAGATGTGTTTAATGCCATACTATGGAACATTCCAGGTAAAGCAATAACATCTCCATGGAGACAAGCAGTTAGCGGATCCTCCAAAAGAAAAGCACCTATGATATAAAATTGAATCGAAAGTCAAGATCAATCAATATACCATATTTTTCAGACTATAAGTTGCTCCAAAGTATAAGTCGCATCAGCCAAAAAGTGTGTAATGAAGAAGAAAAAACCTATATAAGTTGCACTTTTTGGGGGAAATTTATTTTATAAAATCAGAGACCAGGACTTGAACTATAGCATAAACAACAGAACAGAACAAGTTTACCAAACTCTCCATCTCACTCCAAATCACTAAATCCACTGAATTCTTCATCCTCAGTGTCACTTCTGAGCAACTCCACAACCTCCGGAGATAAACAAAGCACCACTTCCTCTTCTATGTAGATGTCATCAGACTCAGCATCAGTTTCAGTTAGAATTATTCCGGCCTTTCTGAATCCCAACAGGATGGTTTCAATTGTCATTGAAGTCCAGTTGTCAGTCCATCCACTGACTTCCAGGAAAGTTGAATGGTGCACCCTCCCGGTTACCGTGAAGCTGTGTTCTCCATCCCCGCTTTCCACCAGTCCCCCACAAGTTTCTTCCTCACTCCAAACTTTCTTTCTTCTGCTCGATCACCGTTTTCGGCTGCATATTTCACTACTTGCAGCAGGACAGAGGCTCTTTCTGCAGGAGACATGCGCAGTAGAGTGAAGTGACAGAGGGACTGGAGTAATAGGTGGAGCTGACACTGACACACAAGCCTAGAGCTTCTCACGGCTGTCAGTGTGAACATTTTAATATATCGCACCGGAGTATAAGTTGCAGGAAACACCCAAACCATGAAAAAAAAAAGTGACTTATAGTCCAAAAAATACGGTAATGAAAAATGAGTTAGTGATTGCATATTAGGGTTTCAAATTATGGCTTCTGAAAGTTGAAGGAAATATCTTTGTGTATTTGATAAATAAAAAG